AATCTGTGGCTCCCTCTGCTTGATCAGGCACAATGCATGTGACCTCGTGCACACAGAGTGCTACTTCCTAAACGCACCAGAAAGATGAACAGATCGACCTGAAAGAAGACGGAGGTAACCTCTATGTTCCTCCCCAGCATAGCAGACACATTTCTGGCATAAGCTGAAACAAAAAAACTTGTCTGTGAAATGGAAGCAATAAAGGTGGTTTGAAGGCTAATCTTGACTATCCAACACCCTCCTCCCCGAGGAGATTGCTGTAAGAAACTATTTGAGACGTTACTGTCCATCCTGAGTAAGCGTGATCTAGATGAAGTTGAGGAAGGAAGAACATATACAGCACTATCTGTAGATTCTAAGGGAAAGAGATTCTACTGAAGAGTAAATTCTTGTGCAAGTCCTTTGTGTCTCAGAGGATTAATATATAGAGGGTACTGATACCCAAGTACACATTGCTTGCCTGAAGGAAGTTCAATATATCCATCATGGCAAGGTGAAAGAGAGACAAAACCTATTAAGCTGGTGAAGTCTATGAAATTATTCCACACTGTAGAATATAATATGATGTTTAGTAGGCGCTCCATTATTCAACAAACACTCATTGACAGGAGATGAGTAATCCAGGCAAGGTAGACTCTACTTCCAACCTCCAAGGCGCTTAAGGTATTTTTGGATGTAGCATCCTGTGTAGAAGCTCTGAATATTAAGGATGACTAGAAGGGTCAGTGTCTACAAGAGAGGGAACCCTACCCGGCTAATTGTGGGTACCATCTAGGAACCCAAATCCATTTGGACTGAAGGAAGCATATGCATTCAAATATCCATTGCTCTCTCCCTTAGAACGTTTTCTTGACAAGGAGTGTCTGTACTCTGAGGGATTACCATCAGGATGAGATCTGGATAACCCAACTTGCTGCTGATCCACAGAAACTTCTGGATAAGAAAACATTAATTGTCGTCCAGGGCTTCTTGGCTTACAGTATCAGCCTTGAAATTTTTGGGAGTCCAGCGCCGAATCCTCGATTAGAGGTACCCCCATCAGCAGTGAGTGGTTCCCATGCATCTATGAGCAGACACCAAATCTTTGGAACAAAATATCATCCAGTTGTTCATTGAACTAATGCTGAGATTCCTTGGATCCGAAAGGCTCTCTTAACTCCAAGATGCTAAATACATATCCCCCCTGAAGTATTGTCACCGACCTCGGATTAAAAGGCTGTTGAAGTGATTTGCACATAGGAAACCTTCATCAACCCGATCCCTGGATAGGGACATAGATAACAGTTGAAACAGGCTCGCCGGCTGTAGCCACAACCAAAATCTCATATTTGGAATCATCCAGAATCAATGGCACAGGGAATGTCTTCTAAAAGAAACCGGCAAGGTGAGGGCAAAAAAAAACAACTCCAACATATCCTTAGTATAACCGGCTTGAGCAGTGAGGACAAAAAAAAGAATGGTGGCCTTGGGAGGCGGGCTTTAATTTATAGTATAACTGGTTCTGTGATTGGGCTGGGGGCGGAGCCATACCCATTGTATGCTGCCATGGATTGGTGTCAGGAAATATATATATAGTACCTAAAATAAATGTAATACATTGTGAAATTATTTGACATTTTTTGTAGTTTATTTAGTGAAAACCAGCTCTCTTTATGGCCTCTGTGCTGTCATACCATTATTTTGTTAAGCAGTGAAGTGAACACAGAACTAACCCTACTGATGGCTTTTAGTAAACTGTCTCCTCCAAACATTCATTTTCCTAAGTGTACAGTTTCTACACCTTTAGTTAATACTTACTATTGCCTGGCTGTAACTGCACTTCAGTATTTCCAATCTAAAATGTGTCGGTCTCAGTAGACCATGATTTTTTATAAACCAGTGCATATTTCATTCACTTAGTTAAGAGTTGGGAGAAGCGAACCAGTTCATGTAAGTCAGAACATGTGGTGGATTGGGCTGGACAACATCAAATTGAAGTTAGGCAGACTGGCTCATTCAATTATCTTTGTAAGGTAATCCAGATTACCAGTTATCAATTATATTTTCTAATGCAGAATTGCAACAGAACCCTTGAAAGCAGAAAACCCTTTGATCAAAGGGAGCGCAGGCTCCCAGTCGAATCCAATGGAGATCCAGCTTTTAACACACACATAGGTTTGTGTGTCAAGAACCATGACACCTGTGATATCACTCTCTTGAAGAAGAGATTGGTTTTAGTAACTCATATCCCCCATGGCACAAAGTGCATGTCGCACATGGTCCTGTCTTTTGTAGGTGGTTCAGATCCTGAGTTAGTGTGGTCGACAGTGTGTCCTCCCTCCACCCCACCGCCATCCAACCACACTGCTCACAAGGAGAAAAATATTTCATGAGTTCTGACTTACATCACTTATATCGGACACCCTCTGACCCCCCCAACCCCCTCCCCCGAGATGAGCGATGTCACTTCTCATGCAGGGGGAATTACAGGAGGACAAGAGAATCAGAATGAGTTTGTCAGATGGAGATGGGGGAAAGGAATGACTTCGGGAGGCTCATTACTGGAAGCAGGAGAAAGATGAACTAGATTGTCAGATGTAGATGAAGGAGAGGAATGACTGCATGAGGCTGTATACTGGAAGCAGTAGAGAGGCGGAGAATTAAACTGGTAGCTAGAGGCTATTTACCTATCAAAGGTGTTATACTACACCAAACAGACATCTAAACAACTAGTACAAAAGAAAAGTAGCGTGTGGGTGGGTGTGTTTACCCAATCCTTTTTTGCATAACAATTCCTCGGGGCATTATAAATGGGGTCATAGGAGGGGTGAGTCCTTTGCCTATTTACTTTGTGGTAAAAGGTATCCCTTGTTCCCATTTCAGGAAGTTGGGATATATCTAAATGTAGGCAATGTCTCACCTAACAATGTATCTGTGTTGTGCAATTCACAGGTTTCACTTGTCTTTACACAGGGTAGAGTACTGATATGTGTCTGTGTGTGTGGTACATTCCACCAACATAGTAGACTGGTGACCGTCATAAATTCGTTCCATTGCCTTTCTCTTTTATCAGACCAAGGGTCTCTAGGACTTCTGTATGTGTTGTGGCATTTAAACCACTCAAAGATGGGCTGGTGGCCACACTATACACTAGCACTTTAAGAAGGGGAAGAACGAAGCAGAACTGTGCATGCCTGAGAAACCAATATGTTTAATACCAAAATAGACTGAAGGGAATTTATCAAAACTGAAGCAGACAAAATCTGGAGCAGTTGCCCATGGCAGCCAATCAGCATCTCTCTTCAGTTTTCTCAGGTAACTTTTGAAAATGAGACAGAGAAGCTGATTGGTTGCAGTGCAAATCTGCTCCAGATTTTGACTGCTCCAGTTTTGATAAATTCCCCCCAATGTGTCCTGGAATACCGGAATATGTTGCAATACATTGTGCAGAGTTTCCAGCATTTTAAAACTATGTCAAGTGACGGTTTTTATTGTCCTGGAGACTATGAAACATTATGCATGGACCATTATACACAACAGTTTGTTGAATCAATATAGAAGTGATTTAAATTCATGGCATTAAATATTATAATTGATAGGTGACAATAAATAGATACAAAGAACAAGAAGGATGTTATGGTACAGTTGATCAGTATGGTAAAAACAGAAATATTTCCAGGGACTGTGTGTGGACCCTGTAGCCAGTATCCAGGTGACATTTTTAGTTATGTGTCCTCTGGCTTATTAATAGATTTTTTATTTCTTTCATAGAAATCTGAAAGCACAAAATCCTAGCAATAAAAAAATTATCTTTACAATACAGTGAAAACATTTTAGGCATGGCTTAGACTGTATATATGCAATAATGTCACTATATATTTGTATTCTTTTAATCTGTACTTATGACAGTCATGGCTCTGATTTCTGCACATGTGATTAGCCAGGAGGAGTGGTTAGAGATCAAAATGAGGAGGACTTATGCCCCGGCGACACTTGAAGGGGGGTGCCGACCCAAAAACACAGCAGACTGCCGCTGTCATTATTCAACCCCCCCCCCCCCCCCTGGCCATCAATGCCAGTTAGTTGCTAGGATGCCCGGCAGTCCTAGCAACTAGTCCTTAGGAGTTAATATTATGGTAAAGTCATCTAAAATATGGGTGCCAGATTTTTGAAAAAATAGCAATTTCAGTGCTTTCCATAGGTGCTATTTTATGTAGCTACGCCTCTGATCATGGCACGAGGGTACTGCAAGCATTGTTATGGTAGAGCACAATTACCTCAACTTATGAAGTCCTAGTGTCTCAATCGGGTCAGACATACACACTATAGGGCTAGTTTGGTCAGAGGCCCTGTATTCTTTAGGTAATTGTTTGGGATAGTTGGGGGAAACCAGAAGAAGCCCACACAATCAGCCCAAAGCATTCAAACTCCATGATTATAAGACTTGAAGAGTAATAGCCACTTGGCCATAATGCAGCACTCTATCACAGATAGGTTCATAAGATTGATGTTTGTGTTTTTAATGATTTTATGTTTCTATTTTATATCCTGTTCATTTTTTTCTTAGCAGTTTCTTTTACATGTTTTGTTGACTTAATTGTTATGACTTCAGATTGAACTTATTTGGGCCTGATTTAAAAAACTGCCCTCAACAAAAACTATAGCAATTGGAACTTTTGTCTATAGCAACTCTGACCTGTTGCTGTGAGCATGATCTGCACCCTATTCTCCCGATTAAAACGGAAGAAACCTGAGTACGGCAATAAAGACCATTTACTCTTGAATGGTTATGTCAGCATCAAGACAACTCCGTTTTAGAATTACCCGAGGAGACTGCTGTAGCATAACTGTCATTATTTGTGTTCTTAATTTCAGTCTGATACAATATAAAACCCCACACCTGCACCTTTTATAACATTCATTTCTCAAGAACAAAAAGATTTTGTCTATAGAGATTTCACAAGAGCAAATAATGAAAGAAAATCTGCAATGTCATTTCTTTTTTCTGAATTACATTTATTTTTCATTTTCGCAGTTGGTACAATTAAGAAGTAATTTTCCCAACGTGCATTCACAGTACAATAAAAGAATTCTGTTTCCTCTAGATTATAATTAAAAGAGATTGGTAGCACCACAGAAAGCCTGTGAACAGTGATCTCTCACTAGCACGGCAATGGTAGGTGACAGGAGCGTCTTGGCCTTTTACTGCTGGATGCGTCGGATAGACTGGATTTGGAAAGTCTGGGCGTGGGATCCCCACTCTCTCCAGTGCTTGTATTCACCTCCATGGTGGTCGCATTCCAGGATGTACTGGTAGCCACGGTAACCGGGATATTGGTAACACACCCAGCTGTGAGAAAGTGAGTGTATTAAATTAATACCAAATAGAAGCCCTGTCCTTTTGCACCTAGACAGCATACCTTCATAGGAAACATTCCAAATATTTGCACATTTGGCCACTGCCTATTACTTAAATATCAAGGAACCATTGTACCTGACAAGCACATTTAAAGCAAACCTGTCACAAGAGAAATATGGAGGCTTCCATTACTAACCTCTCCTGAAAATACTACTTTCCTGGATGCCAAGTTACTCCTCTTGCTTCCATACTTTAAATAACCTAGAAGGTTTATGCAGATAAGGAGTTCTGACTTTTTCCTGACCTGCATATTGATTCCGAGTCTGTAACTTAGAACTATTGAAGCCATTGGGTCAGCTAAACAGCCAAGCAATGAGCAATTTAGAAGCAGGTCAGCAATGGTGGCTCATGACACCCTCATGACTCTGATTTCTTAAAGAGCTATGCTATCGTGTGACTGAATCCTTAAAACATAAAGCTGGGTTCTGACTAGCAATATGATAGTAGTGGCATTTGCACCAAGAGTGAGCGAGCTCCTAATCAGCAGCATCCAAAGCCCCTTTTCTTCTTATTTTGATTATGTAATTTGGCCAGCTTGTTCAGTTTGCCAGACGTTTGTCTATGTTTAGTGCTTAATCATATCCTTTTCTTTTCTATAACTCTATCCTGCTTTCTTCTTAGTGTTTAGTACTTACGCTCCACACTGAACTTTCATGGATCCAACTTCATTGTTTCCCCAGCCCATAGCCTGCAGAGAGGGGTAGTCATCACACATCTCCCACTGGCGCCCAATGAAATTCTCTTTTTCAAAGATGACCAGCTTGCATTCTTTATGGTTCTGCATGGAGGGAGTTAAAACATGTTTATAAATGGTTCAATGAGAATAGCGAGCAACTCTACAGAACACTAAGAGATAGAAAAAAACCAATAAAGTAGTAACAGAGCATCATTAATGGTTACTAGTCTGAAGCAGAAATCTTTAACAAGACATTTGCTGCACACATGTCTGCATATTGGCTACTAAGCCTAAGATTACATGGCAATGGCACTCCATAGCACTGAAATGGAACTGAGACATTGATAACAAAGAATTATAGAATGATTTTTTCTTAAAGCCTGCCTAAACATTCAGTTTAATACAGCTTAATACATTTCAGGGACATAAAAACAAAAGGTGGTCTAAGACTTCGTTTTTTGTTTCTTTTTATAAAGCAGCCACAGCCGGAGTAGCAAAGCCTGTCAAATGCCAGCATGCTATAGAGAACTCTTGCCCTTTGTGCAGAAGCAGTGGATTCTCTGCAGAGGTCTGACACGCCCCCTGCTGGGTCAGAGCTCCACAATAAGCAGGGAGTATAAGCTCTGCTGATTAAAGAAGTTTAGCTCTGACTCAGTAGGGGGTGTGTTGGACCTATGGAGGGAGACCACTGCTTCCACATAGCACATCTTTTGTTTTCATGCGCCTGGAATCTATTTAGCTGATTTAAACTGAAAGTTAAAATGGGCTTTAAAGCTAATTTCTAACAAAGCCAGAATTTAAGGATAAATAGTACACAATGTATTAAATTGCCTAGGTGTTTCCTGTTTGGGGTTTTTGCCCTCGACCGGAAGCACCCACAATCTCTTTTGCACACTCACAGCAGAACAGATTGGGCGGAAAGACATCAGGCGCTCAATGTGGTAGGCATTGCTGCCGCTCCAAGCATCCCAACGGGGGTACTCTCCTCTCTCCAGGACAAACTGCTGACCGCAGAAGCTTGTGTGTTCATATCCAATCCATCTGTGTGGAGACAAATGGAAGGGTCGGTATAATGGGCAATGTGGATTGTACACAATGACTAACTGGTCTACAGGCCCAAATGAAGGCCACAGAGCACAGATTCTGAACAGGATCCCCCACATTAACCTAAAGTGGAACTATGTGCAATTTTAAGAATGTCATATATGATGTAGATGGTCAGTAGCATTAATACAGTCTTTGTTTTTCTAAATTCTCCTGTAACATAGATGTGTTACCTGTTGATCCTGTCACTAAGATCAAGCTGTCCAACAAAACTAGCAGTTAAGGGGTGAAGACAAAACATTTAACACTGTCAGAGGTGCTTACAATTGTCAGCTTTTATTCATATAGTTCAAATCTTCATTCCATAAAGGAAAAAAAACCTGTTGCTATAGCTACTTAAAAAAGTGTTAGCTGACATTGCCTTCTCCACAGGGTGATAATGCTGCTGTCCAAAGGAGGCTACTTTGTTCCTCCATAAACACCATGGAGAAGTGAGTAGCTCTAAGATGGGAAGTGTGTTACTGGCATTTGTCATTTTTGTTCTGGGGTTTAGATACACTTTATGGACTGTGTTCACATCTGCTTTAAAGAAAAATAATGCCATATGAGAATAAGCCCAAGCCATTGTCTAATGAGCACTTCCCAACAATTGGCCCCACCACTGCTGCACCCAATAGAATTATTTCCTAGACCTTGGCCCGCACAATGATAATGACTGTATTATGTTTCTCTAGGAAAGCAATGGGGTTGATTCATTCAAGGAATAGAGACTTTTAACCTAGCCAAGTGAAAATGGTGAAGCTGTGTGGAGCTGAACACCCAATCGCGTGCCATCAAAAAGCCAGTTTTTTCATTTCCATCGCATATGATTGGGTAGTGAGTGAACATAGCTTTAAAAGTTTTAAACCCTTCCAACTCTATCCATAAATGGCTGGAGTTAAGCTTTATATTTTCTTGTCAACAAGTTGGAGTGTTCCCAGGCTGCATAGTAGAACACATTACACACACCAAGCCGAAAGCTATAATGTGGCCATGGGTAGAGGCCTAGGGGAGTTCAAAGCTACTTTGATATTGTTTAAAGGAGAACTATGGGGTCAGTGCTTTTCCCCATAGTTCTCCTAAGGGTCACAGGAGGACACAAACTAGCGTTCTCTCGTGACCCAAAACTCAGTATATCGCGAGCTATAGATCGCAGTATACTGAGACCGCCGCAGCCGGGACGGAGCCCGACATTACTGTCGAGATCCACCCAGCTGTGTGATTGACAGCTGGCTCTGCCTATCTAGAGGCAGAGCCAGCTGTACCCGCCCCCTCCCCTGTCTGTTCCACCAGTCAGCGCTGGAGGATCGGAGCGGGGCAAACACTGCAGGGAGCTTTGAGTGACAGTCACGGCTCTCTGCAGGGACATAATCAAGAAGTGAGCGAGGCCGGGGGGATAAAATGAAAAACACCCAAGCTGGTATTTGTCTTATGGCTTCTCCAACCTTGTAATTATCACGGATGTCCATCTGCTCTGTTGTGTCTCTTTTGTACTAGTGAATAGAATCTAGCAAAGGGGTCATACTTACGCTCCACATTCCACTTTCAGAGATCTAATGTTATCAAAGCCACACTCCATGATGTTTGCACAGGAGGAGGAGAATTCCATTCTCTTTCCTTGGAAGTTCTCTTGGTCATACACTGTAATCTGGTGGGGGAAAAAGGCCATCACTTTAATATTATATTACTTTCCATCTATTACTGTGGCAGGATTTTCAAATTAAAAAGCAGCATTTGATAGCCTTGCAAAGACTAAATTGTGGGGTGTGAATAAATTGGACAAGCTTGTACTAGACTCAATGTAGTGTGGGTAGGGACTATGTATGCTTGATCTCCCTGAAGACACTTGGATCAGATGATTGCTATCTTCCATTGGTGCAAGTCCTGCAGACTAGATATGGGCAACCTCCAGTTTGCTATGACACTGCATTGCTAAGAATTGTGGTTAGTTGGTTAGCTCCAGTTTCTCTGTAGCTGCTAACTCCACAGTTTAGCATGCTGTTTCTACCTCTGGACATCCTTAGGGTTAATCCTTGGTGTACACAGTTGAGCACATCACCCCCTGCAGGATCCTAAGGGTGCCGTTCATGGTGGATTCTGCAATTTAAAAGTAATGAAGTTATGTGATTTGTGACTTGCTGCTTTTGCGGCTTTTTCTGCTTAAAATAAATGCAGATAAGGATGATGAATAGATATTTTTGGTTTCTTGTTCTTGGTGCCAAACAAAAGAGACTATTTCTAGAAGCCGACAAGAAATACAATAAAGTAAACACAAGTGGCTCCTTTTAGTCATTTTTGGTAATACTCTCCTATAACATGATCTCTTTATTGGATCGTGTTCAGGATAAAACCCAGATATAGAACATCTAATCTGCATGAAGTCTCAGTGTCCTCCTTTCATTTTAAATAACTGTGTTATTGTTATTACCA